CTGTGCTGCATAAAATCTCACTGGCTTTATACAGTTTCTCCATTCATAAGCACTAATCAGGATTTGGTTGCGTTCCCACTGGTGGTAAGTCAGTGCAAATAAATGCAGGATAGGATTCCAGGTGCTTGTCTGCCCCAGCAATTGACAGAAACCCAGAGCACTGAGGCTGTGTCTGTGTCTGATGCCTGATGTTTTCTTCTAGGTTGCTCACATCGTGAAACATGAGATGGAAAACGCCATCAAACTCTCAGTGAAACTGAATGTTAAAGTGAAAATTGGCCCCAGCTGGGGAGACCTGCAGGACCTGGAGCTGTGACAGTGCTGTGTGACTTTGCCATGCAGCCAGGGGAGGCTGCAGGCACCTTGGGCTGGGCCGGGTGCAGGCCTGGGATCACCTGCAGGCGGTGTGATCCCCTGGGCTGTGTTCCTGCTGGCAGGGTACTGAGCTGCCTTCTGAAGTGTGGGGTGGAAGCTGGCATGAGCTCACCATGCCAAACCATCCAGAGCTCAGTCAGAGCACTGAAGCATGTTTAAACTGTGAAATTATTAATTGTTAAAAGAAGGATATTTAAATGAATTCTGTCAAGGGTGCTTGATTTTGTATAAACCTCCAAAGCCTAATGAATTTATTACATATTAAATGAGCTGGATTACCTTATTAAAACAAGGTGCAAACATAATTTGGCAGTGCCTGTGTATAATTGTCTAGGGCAAAAAGAGTCATTGTGATTGCACTTAATGTAGAATTTTGCAGGCCTTTGCCAGGATTATCTTGTACTGGATTCTGCTGATGACACTCATGTGTTGAAGTGGCTTTACAGTTGGCTGGATTCCTCACTGAGCAGCTGTGCAGCCTTCACAGTGAGTGGAACCTGTGCTTGGTTGGCCTCTGACTTTTAAGAAAGCATTTTGGTGACTGAGTGCTGTAATTCATCCTACTGCTACCTTGCAAACTGGCCTCAAGAGGAGGAATATTGTTTGGCATCTCTTAGACTTAATACAAAATCACCAGCAGAAACATTTTAAAGAATGAAGCTCAATGAATTGGTTAAAAACTTGAGCTTCATTCTTTAAAATGGCAATGAATATTTTTCTGAAGAAGAAAACTATCTCAGTCTGGCCAGCTGACATGGCAGCCTTGCTGGTGTTTGAGGTCTGGTGTGTTTGAGGGGAGTTGTTACACTGTGGTGGTGACTGTGGCTCTTCCTTCAGAGGCCATTCTCCTAAGGAAGCCTCACACCTGCCTGTTGGAGCCCCACTTAAACCTGCTCAGATTTCCCCCACTCTTTGCCTCAGTGTCTTTGGCCCTGATCCTATGATGAGGCAGAAAGTTTTCCTGGGAGTTTGGGCTTCTCAAGCTGAGCCAGGATCAGATCCTTCAAAAGAAGGGGCAAGGAAGGAGCTTGCAGGGAATTAATCTGCCACTATTTGGCATCACTCTCCCCACTAATACCTTCTGGTCTGGCTAAATCTTACATCACAAGTTTTCATTTCCCTTCCAGACAGCTGTGATGGTTACACAAGTTCAGCTGCTTTTGTTAACTTCACACAATGCCTGACCTTGAATTCTGTAATTTTCATCGTCTTGCCCTTGTATCTCACAAGAAAGGGAGGACAAGTGCCTCCCCTCATCTTTCTTATGCCTCTAATTATTGTATCCTGTCTTTTTCTGCAGTTCCTCCCTAATGTAATCAATCTCCATCTTTCCATTCTTGCCTCCTGTGAGAAGTTTTCAAGCCCCTAATTATCCTTTCATTTCTGAACTTCTGCTGGTTCCTTTTTGAGCAGTGTACTTTTGAAGTTGCTGTTTCAGCCTGATCTGAGAGGATGCACACTTGGCTTTCAGCAGCCTGAGAGGGGCTCGGCATCGTTAACTACAAACGCGGCGCTTTGGCAGGGCCCTTATCCTGACATCACCGAGGGCTGGAGAACACGGGGAGTGCTCAGAGATGTTAATGGAGCCTCCTCACAAAAGGCTGCATCCCGGACTCTGATCCACCGTCTGCCTCTTGTGCAGCAAAGCAGACACTGAGCCAGAGCCCCAGGTGAGGCTGCCTTGACTGCCCCTCTCAGCACCGTCTTCGCCTTCTTTGCTGTTCTCTATTCCACCACCTTACATTGAGGTTTTTTTGTTTTCTTCCTGCCTGCTCTATGCCATGGCTTTCTACACCTGTCACCTGATGGCTGAGCTCTTTATCCACAGCATTGTCTTTTTTCTTACTTTATTAAAGCTTTTGTTACTAACAGATCCCAGCCTCGGCCCCCTGGTGCCTGACCATTTGTGTGCTCTGCCTGTGAAGATGCTGCCTTGGGCTCATTATCAATGCACATGGCCTAATGATTTCCTGTCCTGGGTGTCCTGCAGGGACACACCTGTGCTGCATTCCAGGCCTCTCTGGGGCTGCTGTCATTTGGGCTGCTTGTTCCTTGGCACATTACAGTATTTCCCTCCCACACGCTGCCTTCAGAGTTTCCCGAGGATGGATCTCACACGGATTTCTCAGCAAGCTCTCTCGAAGGGGGCGATGCTAATCAGTAAGGGGATTAACATGTACCCAAACTTATTTTGACTAACAAACTCAATGGGCTCATTTTAATTAAGCAGTAATTTGGAGCAAATGAGAAGAGGTAGCCACTGTGGCATTTGAGTCGTGTTACAGGGACTGGCTCTGAGCTGTTTTCTGATTGCTGCTATTTACATTTCTCAATTCTGATTAGACTTTAACTGTTAGCAAGACTGAGCAGTGGAACAGAAGAGGGCAAAGTCAGGTAAACAGAGGCACTGTCCAGAACTGCAGAAAAGGGTTTATGTTGTTTTATGACGGTGTTAAGAAGGAGCCTGGCTGCTCACATTACTTACCTGGTTTTATCTGTGGGCTCCTTTCCTCCCACCTCTGATTGGCTGAGGGCATTTTATTAATTCAGGACCTGATAACCAGGGTGCAGGTGAGTCTCAGTCTGTGTGTAGTCAGGATGGGATGCATCTGGTAGTGTTTGTTCCTCAGCTTGTTTGTTTCTCCCTTCACAGCCCATGCCAGCCTCCTGTCAGCTGGCACAGCCTGGCACAAGGACAGCTGAATGCTGCAGAAGGGGTAAGAGTTCTGTTTGTTACAACTTGTTCACAGCCTTGTCCCTTGGTGCACACAGAATTCCTACTGCAGCCCAGCCCTGCACTGCCCTTGCCTGGCTGCTGCACCAGCAGGGATGTACCTGCCTGCCAAAGGAAACCCAGCTGGGATGCAGTCCTGGCAAACAGCTCTTGTTACTGGGAGTGCCTTGTGTTCATGTGATGGGAACCTGCAGGACCCAGCTCCTCAGAGGGACAGCCTGTGCCCTGGGGCTGCTGAGCAGCCTGGTCTGGTTGGTTCCCACCTCCTTTGTGCTCAGAATGACTCAAATGTGCCTGCAGCTGGCTACTGGTCCAGGGCAGGACTTGCCCAGCCTTGGCAGCAGGAACTCACACCTTTGATGTTTGCTGCAGCCTCTTGGTCCTTTTCCTCACATGCAGGCCACAAGCTTGTTTTGCTTTGGCTTTCTGCTGCAGCTTTCCTTTTCTAAAACCCTGGCTACTGGAAGGGGTGACAGGCAGGTGACACATAATGGCACTGGTAATCTGATCTGATTGGGTCCTTTTGCCTTTCTCAGAGAGAGCTGTACATGGCTGACAAGAGGGAGAGGGGAGCTCAGCACCTGTGGCTGACACTTGGAGCTTCTCCTGGCACAGGAATTCAGAGGTGCTGCTGGGAGGAGCCCTTACACTGAGCTCACCCTGCCCTTCCCAGAGCTCACCCTGAAGAGGGAGGGACAGGAAGGGCCCTGGTCCAAGGCTGGTGACATTCCCTGCATGGCAGTCAGGAGCTCCATGTGAGCTCTCTGCCGTGGAGCATGGGAACATCAGCTGGGCATGGGTTCTGTCCTGGCAGGAGCTGCTGGAGGAAGGGAGGTGGCCATCCCCACCCCAGCAACAACCACGACTGCAATTTTTGTATTCCTGAATGAGAAGTGAAAACTCCAACCCAAGCCTTTTCACAAACCTTACACCTTTGAAATACTATAAAGAATGTAGAAGTTGGAAAAAAAAGAGATTACACCAACTAGTATCAATTCTTTCCTTTATTTTCTTTCCCTCTGTGTTTTTTTTTTTAAATTTATTTTTTGGTTGTTAATGAGGGCTTGAGACAGCCTCACTGTAAGATGCCTTAGCTTTGTGGTACTGATTTAGGATACCTGTGGAAACAGGACATGGTTAGCACAAGAGTGTGTGGCTCACCCCAGATCAGCCTTCGTTCTGAGACAGGTAATGACTCGTCAACAAACCACACACATACTCAGCCCACATTTCCTTGACACTGAATCTGAATATTTGCTGCTATTTAAAAAAGTACAATGTTTGATTTGTTGATTTAATCACAAAACAAAACACATGAATGGAAACACTCATTTACGTGACTATTGCTTATACACCTAAGAGGAAGAGTTGCCTACGAATGTCCACAGCAGTTCCTGCATGAGAGAGAGTGTGTGCTCCTACCAGAGCCTGCCAAGGCAGAGAAACATCCAAGACTGAAATATGCTGTGCTTGGATTCACCTTTGGGCCATGGGAAAAGGTGCATGGGGCTCTTTGAGGGGCATAATTAACCAAAAACTGGGGCTGCAGCACACACAGTTTGTATATGAAGGAGGGCTGAGGCTGGATGCAGCCCTGAAGTGGTTTCTATTGAAAAAAAAAGCAGCTTTCTATGCCCACCTGCATTATGCACACACTGTGGTGTGAAAGGGATTCTGGAAAAGGAGTAGAGACTGTTTTAGAGAAGTATTTATGTGATAATTTTATACAATACATGTAGTAAATAGAGTATTTTTGTTACACATTTTTGTAACAATCCTGGTGCTGTGGGGAATGACTAATTGATGTAGAGAGTTGAACTGTAGAACTGTAAAAAAAACTTAAACCCCCTCCCCCCAGGTAATTACAGAAAACAAAACCTGATTCTCAAAATTTCAATTGTCATGTCTTTTAATTCAAGGTTTGCAACTGAAGTTAAAGCTCTAGGAATAGATTTAATTTTTTTATTAATAAATAAAGTAGCTTGTACTTCATTGAAGACTTGCCAACTCTGCAGACTTATAAATAATCTAATTTAATGCATTTTTTCTGTCTATCTACAGCACTAGACATAAGATTACAAACATCTGGTCAAACCCAAAGGTGTGTGTGCTGTTGGAAGTTCTGTGTAACTGGTTTTGGATCTGATTGTGACAGAGCTCCTGGAGAGAAGAACATGAGAGAACAAAGTATCTAAATGAACAAACAGCATTTTAAACTGAACTAACACTTCCAGCCAATCTGGCCCGGTGTAGCTGAGGATTGCGAGGCTGAAGAGACATCTAAGCTTGGGATTTAGCTTGAGGTGCTGCTGTCTGAGTGGGAAAGGTGAAAGCACAGAAAGATTTCAACATCCAGTGACAGCCAATGTCCTTGATTTTCCTCCAGCCAGTCCCAGTCCTGCAGTCAGATGCTGTGCTTCTCGCTGGGAATGCTGCAGCTCCTTTGTGCCTGTCACTGACAGCCTTGAGCAGCGTGCAGGGCGAGCCTGGCAGAAATCCCACACTCCCCCTCATTTCACAATAAATCACCCAGGCAAGAGTTTTTCCTCCCTCATTGAACTTTTTAAGTGATGGGTTTTTTCCACATACATGGTAAATCTTGATAGAAAGCATTTAACAGTGTGCACTAACAAACTTATACAACATATACATTACATATATATATTATATATATAGAATGTTCTATATACAAACATATACAACTTTTTAGATCTCTACAGACTACAAGAAAATTGATAATTATAGTCACAAGTGGTGAACTTAACAGAAATTGTAATTGGTAACTGTCTGGAAATATGTAAAATATGTAAGAGTGGAAAGCTGTGACCTGATGGAGAGTACTAAAGAAAAGTTGCTTAAAAGTTTAGCATTAAAAATTCTAAGTTTGAGGGCTGCTAAATTCTCATTTCTCTGTTGCATAAAAATGCAAATGGAAATCTACTGGCAGGTTTTTTTTCACCCTGGTGTTAAAGTCTGTTGGCAGCCAGAGACAGTTGGACCTTGTGTAAAGACTTGTTGAGGACACTTTTCTCTCTGGGTGAGCTGCAGTGATCAGCAGTCAGAAGTTGCTCTTAAATTTTCTTCAAGGATCCCATGATTCCAATCAGCCTCTGGAGCTGCTTCTGACTGCCACACAGCAGGGCAGAATGGAAAATAAGCCGGCTGCTGGACATTTTGAATGCTGCCCCAAATGATTTTGTTGCCCAGAGACAGTGGGTTTGGATTCCTGGCCAGAGCACGGGCCCAGTGAATGCAGGTTTGGACTGAAGATCAAATTCCTGCAATGTTCTCCTTTATTTCTCATTCTCAATGCCTGCTTGGAGCAGTGCTTCCTCACAGGCACAAGTGGTTACTTCTGTGACCCAGCCCCTGGAAGGAACTCCCCAACCCAGTTCCTACTGGCATCAGATTGGCAAGTTTGGCTCATCCTTACACACAGAGAAATCCTCTTGGGTCATGGACAATTCCAATTCCTGAGCTCTCACCAGAAGCCCAGGCATTGCTCAGGCTTTGTCCTTTTTCCCTGCAAGTTTCTACACTTCTGACAACATGGAGCAGTTTCTCCTGTGCCAGGGAAACTCGTGGAGTCTCATTCCCAGTTGAGTTAGACTTGTCAGGGCCATCATTTTGGTTTTGGCTACAGCAAAATGTAAAAATCCTGTAAATCATGAAATTCTGTTCTGCTACAATGGGAATTTAAAACTTAACACCTCAAATCTCTTCCACCCCTTTAACTTGTGCAGTGGGCCAGTTGTGAGGCCAGACTTGTGGATGGTCCAGCTTCCTGGGCTGTATTTTATTGTAGGTAAAGGAAGAAGAAGGAAAAGATGTCTTTGAGAGGGATCATCTGAACACTGTGATGATACAAACACCAGTGAAATTAAGGTCTAGGTGGGAGTGGGATGGTGCCTGTCTCCATCAGTGTCCAACAGGATTCCTTGAAGAGACAGATGTTACATTTCTTCAAAAAAAAAAAAAAATTTAAAGGCTGTTTTTCCAGCTTTTCCTCACTTTCTTTTTTCTAATTTGAAATTATGTCCAGACACATGAAAACAAGCCTTCACTGCCTTGTTTCCAAGCCAGTCTTGGAAAAATTTCTAACCTAAGAGTTGACCTGTGTGGCAGTGAGTCTTGTAGGATAGGGTGGAGCACTCCAGCAGGATAGGCAATAAATCCAGCTTACTGTTCTCCTCCATGGCTGCAGGTTGCAGAGTTTCCTGCAGCATTCACTGCAAAAACCAAACAAGCCACTCTGAAGCAGAAGCAAATTACTTTTAGCAGTGTGAGCAGAGTATAAATTGCCACTCACCCCTGGTGTCACTTTATATCTGTGTTCCATATATATGTTGGCAATGGTTTTCCATGCTCCTCCCTGGCCCACTCTGTAGTGTTCTTGCTCTAATCTCTCTTTCTGTCACAGGTTTTGGGGGGGGTTTCTGTGCAGGCCTCCTCTCATAATTTCAGCTGAGCACTGAAGCTGCTCTGCAAGCTGCTAAGCAGCCTCTGAGCAGTGCTTGATGGGACTGTGGGTTCCCATCTTGCCCTTCCTGACTTGAAGAAATGCTTTCCAAAGCTGGTTTTCTATTTCTGTTTCTACTGGGAAATAAGGCAACCAAGTGATACAGACTCCACGGGGATGAAAAGGGCCACGGCCCCCCTTCAAGGACAACAGATGAATCTAGAGCACATTTTAAAAAGTATAGATTAGGATGATGTTTCATGTGCTCTGAATTGCAAATAAACCATCTATGCACATTTCTTAATGATCTTGTTAGCTAGTGCCTGTCCAGCTACCTGCAAAATTGTTAGATTTTGGGGATAGGATTTTAAATTTATTTATTTTTCTGGTAGGAGTTAAAGAGCACTGCCTTGAGCAAGGCTTTTCAAGGGAAATAAATAGCAGATAAGAAAATAATGCAGCTCAACTAATTTTTATGTGGAGAACAGTAGCAAACATGCTTGAAATGTCCTGGCTTTTCATAATGTAACTTTTAAAAAATAAAGATTTTTGTCATTTAAGGTGTTTTTCCTTTTTTTTCTTTTTTTTTTTTTTCTCAGAATAGAAATAAATCCCATTTTTCTTCGGTCACAACATGCTTCCTTTTTCTCTTTTTTTTTTTTTTAAGTTGGCAATTAGTCATGCAAAGTTTTATAAGTGCATTAACATTCGAGTTTGTACAGAATATTTTGAACCAGACGCACTCCCCACAGTTCATACCTACAGCTCCTGAAAAACTACATGCCACAGTGATGGTTGAGTTCCTTTTGGGAAAAAAATTGGCCCCCCCATAAGTCAGCTGTTGGAAAGACCCTCGATTCCAGCTTCCATCCCACGGTCTGTAAAATTTCTCCTTGACGTCCGCTGTGATGAATCCAATAACAGTAACAGGAAAACATCTTCTAGGAGAAAAAACTGTCTCTGGCCAGTGACTGGGAATAAAGGCTGCTTCCCTGAACAGTGTTCTTAATAAAGCCACAAGCAGCTTCTTTGAAAGTCTAAAACTGGTACCACTTTTTGTCCTTGTATTTGAGCATCACCTACAGAGATGGGAAAAAAACCAAACAAATGGCAATCAAACACCACCCTGCATATGAGAGACCACACTTGACCCAGGCCCATCAACTGTCAAACTTCAGAATTAATAAATGCAGAACAATGCAATACTTCACTAACAATGTCAGCAGGTCTTGGGTCCACTGAGATCTCATCATTAATTTCATAGTTATTACATTTAAAAAGTGTTACCTGCTATTGCTGGTTTTAGAAGATTTTCCCTGAGGAACTTTACTACTTTTCTTCTTCAAAAATTAAAGGAACTTGCTTTCTATAGGAATAAAAAGATGGAGCATAGTAGATATGCCCTGACTATATAAACTTGTTGCAATTCAGGGCACATTCTTTCTGCCTCACACTAACAAAAGCCAATAAAAATGTAAAGGTCTTGTCCGGAGATGTGATGCACATGAAATGAAAAACGTGCATTTTGGGAAGTATGCTTTGATGTTGTTTTATCTTCAAGAAAAATCATTTTAGTTTTCCCAGTCTTAACAGCGTGGGATGGAAAAGCTTTCCATTTCCAGCTCCAAGCACAGAAGCTATTCCTATTCCTGGCAAGGCCTATTCTACATAACAGTACCACAGGGCTGTACTAGTAATGTTCTCCTTTTCCCAGTAAGATCTGTAAAGGTTCCTCTGCACTCATCCACCTACCTCTTTTCTGCCCTAGTGCATGGATGTGCTGCATTAAGTGGCTTAAAAAAACAAACCATAACGAATTAGTGAGAAAGGCAAGATGAGAAGTGCCATGTTCTAAATTCAGAGGCTAACAATGGATGCTCATTTCTGGAAACGTGAAAGAAGGGCTGTGTTTATTTTTGGCATTCTGATAATTTGGGAGCAGGAACAATGCCATGCTGACATGAGCACACCTCCAACACCACGACTGGGTGAAGGGAGAGAAGGGCACTTGGCTTTCCCAAAGGGAAGCACACAGGGTTGGCAGTGCCCATTGCAGGGTGGGGGTGCCAGGACTCCTACCTCGTGTGCATGTTTGGAAAAGGCCTCTGCGCTGGCCATCATGCTGGCAGTCCTTTCATCCAGCTCGCCCAGCTTCTGTCCCCTCTCGTCCAGGGCAATGCGCGCTCGGGTCAGGTCCCCAATGACCCCGCCCGCCGCTCCTCGCACGCCTTCGATCCCGCCCGACCCAGGGATGTGCTGGGCCAGGCTGCGGGAGGCTTTTCCTGCTGTGGCCTCGCCGACTGCACAGGAGAAATGGACAGACAGAGAGACAGGGATGAGCTCCTGGCCTGGCTCTGTCAGTGCTGCCCAGTCTCGAGCTGCCTCCTTGCAGCAGTGGCACCATTCCAGGGGCAGCTGGCACATCTGGAAGGTTTTGCTCTGCCACCACCACTGCAGGGCAGTCGTGTGCCCCCCACTCAGCTGATCAAAAGAAGCTGCCAAGGTGAAGGAATTATGGAATGGCAGACAAGGACCCTCCCCTTCCTCCACCAGGTCAACTTTCTCTTTTCATCAGTCATCTAAATCTTGTGTACTGCTCCATTCCTAGATGACAAGGGCAGGAGATCTCAAGAATGAATTGCTGCCCAAAAAACCCCAAGCAATAAATTACTCACAAAGCTCCTCTCTGTCAAAAGCTTGTCCGCTTCCTCCAAAAAGTCCTTTGAGGAAGCCTCTGTTTTGGGCTTCTGGTGTTTCCACAGGAGTAAACAAATCCCCAAGCATGTCCTAGTAAAGCCAGAAAAAGTCCATGTAAAAGGTTAGTGAGGTGAAAGTGATTCTAGGTGTTTTCTTGCTTTTCATTAACAAGCCACATGCACTGGACCTAATCAACTAATTTTAAAAGAGTCTGTTGTGTGACCAGGATGGTGCAGGTAATATTTGTGTATTCTGACAAATGCTTGGGCTAACTAGACTCACTTATGCTTTCAAATGGACTTGGTTTGTCAGTGCTCAGCCCCATGTTTGTTACCAGAGAAAAAAACCTGCAGCTAATACAGAATGAAAATACCAGTGGTAAGGTCACATTTTGCTTAGAAACAGCAGAGGTGACACTATAATTGAATAAACAATTTGTTGTGTATTATGTATTTTGATTTAGTGACTGGGGCAGTCACTCTGCTTTCCTTTTATAGCACACCTGAGTTCAACGCTTGCCAGCAATTCAGAGTTTGGTGGTTTGTAGTTTAGTTGATTTTTTCCTTTTTAAACAAAATTCATTACCTTCCTACAACTCTCCCCCACCCCATTAGTGTGCCATCAGCATTGCTAAATAAGCACATCTGCTGAAGGCACTGCTCTGGTGCCACATCTTGGAACAGTCACTCCCAACAATTGTCAGGCTCAGATTGATTTGCAGCAGTATTAGGAAAAGCAGGCTCTCTGGAAAACTGATGGGAAAAGTGTGCAGTGCCATTAGTGTTTGAAACCAGGGGGCTGTGTGTACTGAGAACAGTTCCTGCCCTGTTGTTTAGCTCTGTGTTTGCTCAGCCAAGCCTCAGCAGGCAGATCCAGCTGCTGTGTTGCACACAGCAGGCAGATCCTGGGGGCGAGGACAGCGCTGTGACTCACAGCCACTGCTCCTCTGCACAGTCACCTGCTCTGGGGAGAAAAATTACTGCAGCCCTTGGAGCCTAAGTGGAGCTCTCATGCAGCCCAGCTTTGTTTTCCCAAGTAGCAGGTGACACTGGGTCATCTGCTTTCTGTACACACATAATGACCATGCAAAGCTTTTTTTGCCTAAAAGCCAAGATAAAAGCAGCCATAGTCCAGGAGTACAGAGAAGCAAGGGCCGCGTTTCCCTTTGCTTGGTAGTTGCATGGTGCTGTTAAGGCTGGTAAAAAAACCAGTTTAGCTTGCAACAGCCTCTTGCTGTAGGTCCACAGTCTAAGATGCATTGGTCAAACCTTTAGATTATTTTAAAATTGGCTCCTTGCAAAATAATCTCCTCTCTGGTGCACAAAAGCTGGTGTGCAATGCTTGCTCCTCAAAGTGCCTTTTCAGACTTGAGACAGACAGTGCTGTGATGTGAGTTGAGCAGCTCAGCACATGTTATTCTCTAGGGCATAATGAGTGCTGGCAGGACCATTTCTTTTATACTTCCATTCTGGTTCCCTGCTAATTATATAACCCAGAACTTATTCCCTCTCTTTTTTTTTCTTTTTTTTTTTCCTTTTATTACTCATGTTTCTCCCTGTAACATCTCACAATTCCTTCTCCTCAGTAAATGACATTTTTATTTGCATTTTCATTGTAAAATGACCAAACCAAACCAAACCAGCCCATCTCTAACATTGTAAAGACTTTTTGCACAGGTGCAGGTCAGAGTGCATGAAAAAGCCCAAGGAACAACAGAGCTGCTGACCTCTCTCTGTTGCTTTGGCACCCTTCAGTCAGGGCAAGTGGAGAGGAGCAGATCTGTCCTGCCCCTGCAGTCCTTATCAGGGCCAGTTTAGCCCTGAGGAGTGAGGCCACTGTCTCTGCTACACACGGGCACAGGGTGAGGTGTGAGCCCTACCTGCAGGTTGTCACACATCTCCTGGCTGTAGGTCAGGCGCTGGATCTCTGTGGGAGAGCTCAGGTACAAAGCCTGCCCTTCGTTAGTGAAACAAAAGGTCCGTGCTATCCTCATGTCTGTGACAGGCAAATAGTTCATGTCCAGCAGCGGGCGGAGGCTGGGCAAGCTGAGGAGAAGCACATTCCCAGGTTAGCATGGAACACCTGCTCTGTGCCTGCATTTTCAACCAACACTTCACTTTATGCTCTTCACAACTGCAACAGTTAAAGTACAGCTCTAAGCTGAAAAATCCTGCCATAAAAATGCTGCATTCCCATCGGATTTTGTTTGCTTGCATGGAGGGGTTTCAGCTGCCTTGCCTCCATGGCCCTAAGGCTTCTGCTTCTGTCTGGACATGGGATGTGCATGGCACAGCTTGTGCCACATAGCTGGGTCGTTTGCAGGGCAAGGCCTGCAGGGACATCTGTAGGAAAGGGCCTGGCAAGGCCCTGCTTCCACCCTGTGGACAAAGGCTCCAGCATCACCTTTGCTGTCCTCCAGTTTCCCGTGGTTTCTGAGCAGTACTTTTTCCAAATTTAAATGGCCTGGCCAGGGAAACAGGGAGCAGCAAGGTGAAGGTACAACTACAGGGCTACTGCACAATCAGTTCCTGGGGGAAAGGGGCAAGGAAGGGGAACCAAGAGCTCTGAACAGAAAAGCTACAGAAGTGCCAAGAGTGGGACCTGATACTTCACAAAGGATAAACAGAACCCATTCTACGGCTGAGTTTTCTACTTCTCTATACCTGACCCACCATAACTGGGCAAAATTATCAGGGCTTTCTTTTATCACAGTTAAAAATCACCAGCCATCAACTGTCACAGGTAGGGGACTACTAGAAAACACCAGGAGCTTGCTTTACTGTGCACCTGCCTGCTTTAACTCCCCACGTGGAGACAGCCCAAGGATCAGGTATGGCTGCATCAAGGCAGGGAATTAAACACACCCACCAGGGAGTTAATGCAGAGCATCAGGCACTCTGGAGCAAACACAAGTGGAATATGACAGCACTGTGCCACCTCTTTGCTTAGTTTTGCCCCAAGATTAGTTAGATAAGTACCTCAGTGTCATGATGTGCCCATTAGCACAAAAGCACGCCAGACAGACGCTGTTACAGAGGGTGACCACATCTGCTCGCAATAAAAAGGACGTTTCGGTGATGTTGTGGACATAAAGACATGTTTGGGAAGGCAATGAGAAGACTTTGGCTTGTTTTTCTGAACAAATGACTGCAAATTGATGATCACCCATATCCTGGGAGGAGGAAGGGGAATGCATGACAAGTTTCCTTTTCCTTGCTTTGTCACCGTCATCAGCACTGTGTGGATCCCTCCATACTTCATAGGGCTGATGTGTCAGTGTCCCCATGCAGTCCAAGCACGCGAAGGTCAGCACGGCTCCCTTCAGGGTCAGCACGGTGCCTGCAGAACAGAATTTCCTCTCACTGGCACTGGCACCACAGCCAGGCTGCCTGTCAGCACAGCACAGATGACACCAGCTTTGGTAAACACAGCACACACATTAATCCAGCCAAGGTGACAAGGCGTGCTTGCTCAGTTCTTTCTGAGCACACGAGAAGGTGAACAAACAGCCTGCCAGTACTGGAAAGGTCTCAGGCAGCTGATATCTATAATGATGGATGGAATACATGCTGTTAAAGATGGCCTGTTGTTTATCTCTACATTATACTAGCAGAATATATATTCCCCAGCAGTAAAATTGCTCCAAGTCTGGTGACCTTCCAGCTTGTTTTTCTAAACAAACTGGGGGTGGGAAACCTCTGCTTCTGCGCATTCTCCATTTTTTGTCCATTTTTTAAGCACATGCTGCCTCTCCTCAGACCTGACCTCTCAGCCCTCTGTTCTCTCTGCTACACCATCTGTCACTCACTCAGCCAAGGATCTCTCCTGGTACAGCAACCTGCCAACATTTTTGTTTCCTTTCCTGAACTCCCTTCTGCTTCTCTGCAGCTTTCTGATACTGAGACAGCCAAACTGCTTGCAGAATCCCAGACAGAATTGTAAACAGGACTGTAATTTCACAATATGAAGGAGCTCTGGTCCTTACAAAAGAACATGTAACTTTGCCTGTAACACAAGACAATCCTTAGAACTAACACAACCAAAGTGTCTCAGTCCATGAAGCTGTTGGTCCCTCATGAGCATCTTTACCTGTGTGCCCTCCACTCAGTGAGTGACCACTGCTTGATTTTTTGAGACACGTCTGCCCAAAAGGCCATACAAAATCATGCACTTATTGCCCCATAGTACCAAGACAGATAAAAAGCAGGAAAAGAGCTGCACTCTCACCACTTGGAGACACCATGACTGGCTCTGACTGCCGTAAGTCGTCGCTAGCAGGCAGATTGAGGGACAGGATTATGACCATTCCGAGGCCTGTCCCAACCCAGAGGCAGGAGGAAACAGCGGAGTCGTTCTTTCGGGCAAAGGACTCCATGAAGAACAAAGCTGTGATTGCCTCCTTGGAGTCCCTGTCGATGCTGGACACGCTGGAGCTTCGGGAACGGCTGAAGGAGTTTTCCCTATTTTCTGCACAAACAGATACAAGTAAACAAGTATAAATCAGTGCTCCTGGAACAGGCACAAGCCTGCAGCAAATACAAACTCCCTGCAGAGTACAGAAAATAAAGTTTTCTTAACCTGAGCAAACATTGTGACCCTAGCGTGATACCAGCTTGCTGCCAGTGTATAAATAAGTGTGGAAAATGCTGTCAGACATCATCAGCTAGATCTGCATTAGAAATAGCTGCCTATTATGGAGATTAGCATGGACTAATTAGAAATTACAACAGCCTTTGCTCAAAGGACTTGTTCTAAATAGCACAAAATAATTTTGGACCCATATGTTACCAATGCATTTAGAATTAATCCATGTATCCCATTGCTGCAGGACATGAAGGGAGATGGCATTACCAGTTTCAGAGCATGTGTCCCCTGCTCTGATCTTGTTGCCATCACCAGGACATTCAAGCACTGCGCTCACAACCATCATTTATTGTGAAGGCATTAATAACTGCTCCCTGGGGAAAAGATACCCATTGCTGAACTGAGCCTAGTCTCCAAAACATCTCAGGGTACACATCCATTCTGGCTTCCCAGGGAGTGAAGTGAGAAACCTGCTCTGTGCCCTTGGCAACAACTGCAGAGTGAGCTGGCACAGCCTGAGCTTTAGCAGGCAGCATCGAGAGCCAGCTGGAGACAGAGCCGTGCTCTCCCCACTGCAAGTGCCCAGGTACAGAGACTCCCTCTGAGCTTTTCAGAGAGAGGTAACCATGAACAGGCTGAGGAGCTCTGCTTTGCTTTGTCTAGTGCCAGGCAGGAAGCACAAAGCTGTGTGAGGTGGCTCCTGGCATTAGCAGGAACATCAGAGGCTATGATGCACAGAGAGCTAAAAAGTTCCTGAAGAGTCAAGGAGCCAGAGGGAAGATGGGAGTAGGGCTGGCTGCTGCACAGTCCAGTGCTGCCAGTGCTGCTGTTTACCAACCTGTAGTTAAACATGGGATCAGATCCCTGGAAATCCCACATGCTCTTTTGCAACAATAATGACTGGAAGTGGAGAAACAGCTGAAGGTACTGGATCTGAGATAAAGGTCTTGCTCCTGAACCTATCATTATGAAGCAGATCTGTATCTGGTACAAAACTGTCCTTTTTATAGTTCAGAAGAGTCACCTCCTCAGAGCCAATAGAAGTGTCTAAAAAGAGGAATAGTTTCTGCCATGGTTGAAGAATACATTTAGAAAATTACTTTGTCACATACTCCAGCTTAAAACTGACCTAATCCCCACACTGTATACATGGCTCCTGTGCTCCACCAGAGCAGCAGCTTTGCCAGTGAATCTCGTCCTCAGACAACAAACTGCAGCATTGTGTTCCCCTGCCCAGCTGCCTCAGTGCAAAGTCATCCCTACACTGCAGCTCCCTGGGAAAGACTGGAGAGAACCAGGGTGAAGCACTGCTGGAACCACACCAAGTATTTCTGCAGGTGCTTCTGCCTTAAGTGCTGGCACACAGGGCTGGGGCAGATTCTCCCGCACTCTTTCACACTTGGGCCACCTCCTGTCCTTTGAGGGCATTTGTAGCATGTCAAAGAGGAGTTTTACAGGACAGTTGTTCCTGGCACTTCAGTTCCACTCTCATGGAAGAGAATCTTATGCCTACTTGAACTTCCAAGCACTGCCCTCACCCCATTTCCATGTTCATGTAGGCACTGTTGTAGCTCTCTAGCTGTGTCTCAGCACTGCTCCATGTAGCTACATAAACTGGGATTGTTGGCACATCTACAGACACAGCTGCTAATACCTTGAGAATTAGTGTCTTCCATAACCCCAAGAACTTTGTGCTGCTCCTGCAGGGAATGAGTTGGCCCAGCTCCTTCCTGAGCACTGACAGCTGCCAGGTAAAGAAAGGAAGACAGTAATTTCAAGGCAGAAATCATCACAAGGCAGAAATCATCAGGGCTCTCTCTCTCTATATATATATATGTATATATATATTTTCTCCCATAGGGTACCTAATCTTTAATAAAAATGCTATTATGTAATTAATCTTCTCTTTAACAGGTGTATTAATATCACAGTCACATAAAATTCAAACCCGGTGGTGCTCAAGCTAAGAAAGATGTTGAAAGGACAAATGCAGTTAGTGTAGGCGACATACACATTACTTTAAATATATGATGTGCCATTTGCATGTGTCATCAAGCTTTCTCCCTCCCTAAATTAACAAGAAATGTTCCTCACTCCTGTGCAGTACAGTTAACTAATACATCTCTGCAAAACTGACACTAACAGATATAATCTTTAGGACACTTTTGGGAACATACTGTGCCATTTTCTATTAAATACACTGCTCAAACTGAAATTCTAAAGATCAGCAAGACATATGCCAAAATTTGATGTCATTAAACATATCTGAACAGCAAAGTCTGCAACAGCTAGGTGACTTTATTGGCTGGCTCTAAAGCAAGGTAGAAATCTCCGCTCTTTCTAAATTTCAGGATTAAATTAAGTCTTGTTCCCTGGGACTCTTTTCTCAAAAAGATTCTATCCCAAATTCATCATCTAGAAAGCATTCAGTTGTATCCTGGAGAAACACAAAAGCACTTTCCTTGGGAAGTTTTAAAAATTTGCCAAATTATTTGCTAGTATGTTTTCTATGTCTTAAAATGACATCCCATCTTCTCAAAGTTGACTTGCCAGTCTGTAGCAATCCTTAACCCAACCACCATATTCCAGGTCTTATGTTCTTCCCTTTTCTTGCTCTGCATGATGGGTGCAGCCAGAATGTTAGCTACATTTTTCTGCAGGAGTCTGAGCTAGGACCACTTCCTTGTGACAGAGGTCAAAGTTGATTTGGATTCTGTGCTGCAGTGAGGGGACAGGACATTCACCTGTGAAAAGCTCCTCAGAAGTTTCTGTTTTCTCCTCTTCTGGAGAACATCCTGCTACATAGCACTGTCTCATAAATGTGCTCCTATCACTAGATTACTTCCTGCTTTGAGGAAGCCCAGTATTCCCTTTTCTCTGAAAGGCACATATCCAGCTCCCAGGATCCATTAGGTCCCACACAGCCCATCAGATCACCAAATCCTTGCTCCTCTTCCTCTTGCACACCCAGATTTCTTGGCTTTTCTTTTCTCCCGTATAGGTCTCCAGGCTCCAGAGAGCACCATCAGAGGGACCCAGTGGCCCCTGAGTGCTAAGGTAGCGACTGCAATTTGGGAGATGCTGCTGTTGGATGATGAACAGCTCTGAGCTGAAGCATTACTACCTGCAGTCAGTGCATTCCATGGATCAAGGCCACACAGAATAAACACCACTGCTGTCCTAAGAGTAGCCTTGCTTACTTCAAAACGTTTTCATTCAGCCCCATCTTATGCACAGTTTGGGTTAATGAGCTGCAGATGGAAACTCAGGAACCAACTTCCTTTGTGACACTGGACTGGTTGTTAAATTTGGGTGACAAGCCAGCAGCACACAAACAGAACCTTTATGACTCAAAAACAACCAAAACCTCTTTAAGTTGCTTCCCACCTCATGGAAAAACACACAGGACACTTCAATGCCCAGGCAGGTTAAAAAGGAAGATGGTGCTTTGGAGTCCTTTGTTCATCCATGTGTGAGCAGTGCAGTGCCACGCACTGTGTGAAGATGTCCTGATTCCATGGAAGTGCTGGAGCACTGGGAATGCCACCCACTGCCACAAAGACACATGCATTGCAAAAGGACGGGAATGACTGAGCCAAACATCATCATGACATTTATACAAAAGTAGCCCTGCGTAGTGATTTTCTTTATGAAGTTAGGAATCAGGAAGATAGAAGCATCACTTGTTAAGAGGAATAAAAAACCCTCAACCTATCAGTAACAAAGACCAACATTTTCATAGCAAATATTTACATTCATTACTGAAGAGTTTTGCAATTGATTCTTAGCGTCTTGGATGCTATTTATAGGCCCTTTCCTGGTCTTAAAGTAATGAGTAATTGATCTGTTTATGAAATATATACAAAAGTTGACCTTTTTGACATGGAAATCAATATATTATGGAAAAAAAGAAAGTGGAATGGTTTATATTCTCCTCACTTGAAGAACTCTAGAAGTTTTAATCCCAAACACCAAACCTAACAGAGGCCAATGGAACTATTTAAAACATTTGCCCATTTAAGACCATCATCTTACATTTTAAGAGAAATCTGTCACTTTCAAAATTAGGTAGTCAGGAAAGCATTCAAAGCTCTGAATGTCAAGGGGAAATATACAGTAAAGGAATTATACTTACAGCATGAATTTGTGCATAGTAACATCACAGAGACACAGAGACCAAACATGGTGCTGATGGCAATGCTTCAGCAACACCGAGGAGAAAGGGGCAGGACAGAATACACATTAAGGAACATTTGCTTGGCTATAAAACCAACATTTTCACAGCACCACTCTGTGCTGCATAACACATAACACAACTCACTAGAAAGCAGCAGAAGTTGTCCTAAGCAGAAATAATGTACTGGAATTTTACTGCCAATGAGTTCCTACAAGATCAATTTATATAAATTACTCTAAAACTATGCTGTGGATATACAGCTTGCAGAGCATTCCAACCACTGGAATCGCTGTGGCTGTGCTCTCATGGACCTCACAGCTGTGGGATGCTTGACCCTCCCTGGAGAAACTTCTGAAATGTATTGCCCTGAAGTTGCTACAATTAAGGCAGTGTAACCTGCAAGGTTTCATGGAATTCCCACTGACACAACACTGACAGAATGGATGGCAAATAAAGGCTTGAAACAGAAAATAGATTCAAGACAGTAGACCTGGATCTTTGGTATTTCCAGAATACAGTAAACTTAAGGCTTATGTTTTAGTTCAGCAACTTTTAAAAACGGAAGGGAACTGTCAAGACAGAATTATTTTTCACGTTGAAGAAGTAGAAATAATTTCTACAAAAATGCAAAAGATCTTTGCAGTAAGAATCTATCAAACATCCATATTTAATTGTATGAATCACTTCCCTTGACTTACACAAGCAA